TCTATCTATCTATCTATCTATCTATCTATCTATCTATCTATCTATCTATCTATCTATCATCTTAGTTAACAACATACATATAACATCTTATGCCCAAATAAATAACCCATCTCTTAACCTGATAGTCTAGTTCATAAAATATTGACCAATGGCTGAATTAATATGACATGCTGAACCACAAGTTACTCATCTGCATTTTAATCTACTGTAATATTCCCAGCTAAATGAAAGAAGCCCACCACCTCCATAGGACTTTCTCCAAAATTTTCTTCTTTTTGTTTTTAAAATAATTTCTGCAACTAATCTGATTTGATCAAACTAAATGAAAACTAGTAGAAAAACATTGAACAGATTAATTTATATACTTGACAGCAATACATCTTAAAACAGAGTTCAAAACTATTATAATGCTGGAGGTTCATATCAGTTGTTAAGCTTTATATTCATTACTATTACCTAACTATTACTATGTAACATTTATCCAGAGCTATTTTCATAATTTGTTATCATTGCTAACTGGATGACTTGCATACCTCGGAAGCTTCCCTTGGAATTTGTGTCAGTGCTATTGAGTCAGAATTCAATAGTGAAAGCACCTTGATTGCAACTGTCTTTCCTATACTGAGAATTAAACTGACTATATTACGCTAAATCTATTTGTATGATTTCTGTGAACTTGGTAAAAATGAAATGCAGAAACGTGTTTACTCTTTTATACAGCAAGTTGTAGAATTATTCCTTTTTTAATGAATACCTTCTCTTTTTCTGTATTGACCAATTTCCTATCATCTCTGTTCTTCAGCTTCCCTGGTGCCTCTGCAGTTGGCAATGAAGAGTGGAAGATAAACAGTTTTCCAGCGCACTCCGCTGCCTGTAACAAAAATAGGGGAAAAAAAGCAAGAAACAAAAATGACTTTTATTCTCCTGCAGATATAAACTTCTGAGATAGAGACTTATACAGTTCTGTTATTCCAGTATAAACTCTCAGCGACTTTATAAACTAAATAGTCCATTTGTTTATAGTTTGAACTTTATTTGATACACTAAAATTTCACCTCTACCACCACAAGAATAGAAAAGATCTAGTATTCACAAATACTTAACATAGTAGTATCTGGGTCATCTATGCAGTTAAAACTTTCTCTCTCTGTGCATCTGTGTGTAGTCTGTGCATTAATAGGCACACTGGGAAAACCAAGACTGTCCAGATGCAAAGTTCAATACAGTTAAACTTGAGTGCCTTAGAATGCCCTGATAATGTTATCTAGTTTGGATAATGAAAAGTCTGCAAGAAAACAATCAAGCTCAGAGAGGACCCAAACACCCCCCATTTCAACCTGTGCTACAAATATTCTCCTTTATTGATTCAGTAGGGTTTACACAGGGTTTACTTGAGCCTGGAAAAACAGTATAGGTTTATCTAAAAACTGTTAGAGTGGATGTACAAGTTTAAACATCTTTATAATGAAATTAGCTGAAGTATATTGCTATAATAACGAAGTTTATTCAACTGCAGCAAAGCTACACTTTAAGCTGCCTGTACAGGCCAGGTCAGGGAAGAGAATTCACAAGATTTAGTGGGGCTTTATTTTTGTAAGTATAATAAATAGAATCTTGAAAGCTTTCCCAATTTTTCCTTTGTCCTCTTATATACTACTCAGTTTCTGTGCTTCCTACTCTCCCAGGGCTAAGATTTCTTGTACAGTCTCTTTTATCAGTTAACAGCTCTTGAGTTCTTTCACCAATGTTAACTCTGACTCTCTCTACAGATTGCCACACTTGGAATAAATAAAGAAGCAAAATAAATTCACAACATTTTTGTGAAGTAAATAAATTTTACTTCAGAGATACTTTCCCAAAGTACTTGGAATACATAAAGGTAAAGGTTTCCCTCACACATACGTGCTAGATCCCTCACACAGAGGTGCTAGGCAGCTCTAAGGGGCAGTGCTCATCTCTGTTACAAAGCCAAAGAGCCTGCACTATCCAAAGACTTCTGTGGTCATGTGGCCAGCATGACTAAACACTGAAGGTGCATGGAACACTGCTACCTTCCCACCAAAGTGGTCCCTATTTTTCTACTTGCATTTTACATGCTTTCGACTGCTAGTTTGGCAGAAGCTGGGACAAGTCACTCCGTTTACATAGTGCTAGGGATTTGAATCGCCAAACTGCCGACCTTTTTGATTGACAAGGTCAACGTCTTAGCCACTGAGTCTCCACTTCCCTTGGAATACATAGACATATGCTATCCATCACTGATTATTGGAGCTTACTTGGTTCTTTCATGTCATTCAGAAATCAGTGAAGAAGCCTAAAGAAATATGTATTTATTTAAATATAAATGTCCACTGAGGCTGAAATACTGATTATTTAAATATGGAAAATCCAAAAAATGTATGATGCATTATTACTTAAATCATCATTACATTCTACTGAATGTGAATGCAATCTTTCAAAGTACATTGTTGAATGGCTGTCCTTCATAAGTAAATTGCATCCTGAATAATTATTGGGAATCAAGTGAAGTTACCAGTAGCATTAAAAATACTAAGTTTTCATAATGGTTTCACCATATTTAAGATGAATTACCTCCTAAATCATTTACATTGAAATAGTGAACCAAGCATGTTGCCTAACATAAAGCATGAAAAAAGAGGTAATAAAAATGTTTCACATCAGAAAAACCAAAGAAATGAGCTATCATTAAAAATATATGATCACTTGGGAAAGAAAGCAGTTAAATTTGCATCAATCCTTTTCATATTTCTTAAGATTTAATTTTGCATTTGTCACAGAAGTATGATAGTTGTGTGTGTGTATATACATACAGACCATTAATTTATCCACCCACACAAGAGTTTCAGTAATTTCTTATGAGAGGAAGCCTATCTGATACTTAGTACCTTTATAAACAGTTTGAATTGTAATTTTTCATTCCACCACCACATCTTTTCAAACAGACATTATTATTATTCAAACATAAATTTCCTTTTCCTGGGAAGATGGTGAAACACAAAAATGCTGTGATCATTTGATTTATGTAGCAAAGCATGTGATACTGAATTTGTTCACAGTTGGCATTGTGAGCAAAAAATAAAGGAAAATAAATTGAGAGACTAGAAGTCTGCTGAGCCACTGATATCACTTTCATGGTAAATATATACACATACACACCATTCCAGATGAATCCGCTTTGAAGTTATGATGTATTCAGTGTATGGAATTTGGTTTTAATTTCCTTGTGAATAAGCATGTTTTGAAAATGGGTGAAGAGAGCTAAGCAGGAGACCTCCTGCATATAAATGGCATTAAAAAGAAAAGCAGTGAGATAATGTGGAATATAACCGAAGGGAATAATGCTAGATGGAATATTTTATAGATTCTGTGTGGGAATTTTAAGAACATAAGTAGTGCCCTGTTGGACTGGACCTCAATCCCATTAAGTCCAGCAGTCTTTTACAGTGGCCAATCAACTGCAACAAGGAAGCCCAGTAGTCTCTGAACAGATGGCCTTCAGAGGCGGTTAAAGTGTCATCAAGTCTAATACCAAGGACCCCCATGAGTTCTATGAATTGCTCCATCCTTTTTTGAAGCCAGGCAAGTTAGTAGATAGCATCATGTCTCACAGTAGTAAATTCCAAAAAGTTTAATTACACATTGGGTAAAAAAGGATATTTCCTTTTGTTTCTCCTGATTCTTTTAGGATTTCATTGGCTGATCTGATTCTAGTATTTTAAGAAGGAGAAAATAAGTTATCCTTGTAATTTTATCCACATCATGCATAATTTTTGCATACTCAATCACATTCCCTATTATCTGCTTCTTTCCTTGAGTAAAACGTTCCAAATTTTACAAGCTTTTCTCTGAGGGAAATTACTCCAGCCCTTTTCATCATCTTAGTTGCTGTCCCTCTGAATCTCCTCATGTCCATTATATCCTTTTTGAGGGGTGTCAACTAGAAGTATGCACAATATGTAAAAAGTATCTTGCTATATATTATGCATTGGAATGCTGAAAATGGTAATGTATATGTGCAAGTAAAAGAGTTATGGTTTTCTATAGTAGTTTGTGGCAACGCCTAACCAGCTTTGACTAATCTTGAAAAGCTAATCAGGGTCAAACCTGGTTGGTAGCTCAATGATAAACCACCAGAAAAATATCAGGATTGTAGGCTAGACTGAATAGTTGAAAGAAATCTGAATAATTATCTTGACAGGAAATCAATTTCTGTAGTCATCAAGAAATACCACAGGGATGCATCCATGAAGTCAACGCTGTTCAACTGATCAACTCAAATGAGATTTTACCCTTTTTCAAATAAATTTTAAACATTTACTTATGTTTACTTTTTGGTCCCTATTAGGGAAAATACCATGTATAAGGCAGCACGCAGGTATAGTACAAAATCCTACTGATAGAAAACAGCAGTAGTTTTATGGTGATCAATATTTGTCAAGGAGAGCTTTTCATAGCTTAGCGAGGCTCTATGGTGAAAAGGAGTCTAACCTTGAGTGCTTCCATGCCTGCTTGAATCACAGGAGCAAAGACTGTCTCACTCTCATTTGTATCTCCAAACATCTCAGGAATCTGGTCCAGCAAACTAGAGAAAGGAAGAAAAAAATGGTTGTTCAAAAGACTGGACTAGACAGAAGAAACAATCCTTCTGCAGCTCTGGTGCTCAAGTCCCATAATAAAAAAGTAGCTTGCCTACTATGGGACTTATTTTCAATTAAAATGTTTATGAAAGCTGGGAAATTATAAACATCCATTTTTCCCCCATTATCAGTCTTTTCAACACTAGTGCATGGTGGGTTTTTTTACAAATATAATTAGATATTAATATGATAAAAACGTATAAAATATTTGCTTACTTGTTTATAACAGATTGTGATTCTTGGAAGTTGACAAGGAAGCCATCCAACAAAGGTACAAACACTTCACTGACGTCAGTGACTACCATCATTTGAGGTTGTGCAAGAGAACTTTTTACATTGAAGAAGTGAAGGATTTTATTGTAAGTGACAAATCCAACCCGAATTGTTGAAACGTCTTGTTCCTCTCTTGAAGAGAAATAGTTTTAGAAAATATAGTTACAGGAAATTTTTTAGCCCTTTATCTTCATCTTACCCAAACATTTGAATTTTATCTGAACATATTAGATAAAAGACTTCATCCACACATATGTATAGGACAGATACATATGTGTATAGGACATTTCTGGACAGTTAGATGAGGTAGAATCTGGGTCTGAGTTAGAAAGAATAAATCAACTATGGAGAACACTGACTGACTTTTAAAGCAAGCATTGGATTAGACACCCAATGGGTTGTTGTTTTTTTAAAGGTAACTATATAAATCATGTATACTTCAGAAGTATTTTTAATTATTTTGTTTTAATTAAAGCTACCTTTAAAAAACCAAGTTAGATTGGATAAGTAGCCTGGTGGAGACCAAAGAGATAAACACTGGTACTGCGCTGAGCATGCTGGTGCCTCACTCCCTTGATTCTTCATTATGGGAATGAAAAGAGCACTATCCTTTTACACTATGAATTCAGCTATGCACAGATTTGGGCATTGAGATGAATCTCAACGTAACCATGAGTTATATATGAGGATACCTGATGAACCAATAAAGAAACTTTGTATAGATGCTTTGTAGAGTTATGTGTCTGCCTTTATACATTCAGTCAGTAATTAAAGGGCAGAACAGGTACCTCTATGAACTATTCTGGATCGCTATTATATGCCTTCTAAACACTCCTACTGCTCCTACTGACAAAATAACACTAGAATCTCCTTAATTCAGACTCAAACCTCAGATGGCTTTATTGGGTGGGGGGATGCCACTTTCTTGCTCATAATATAGAGGCTATTTGCTTTTAGACCTGCACTTTCCTGATGGCTTCCCACCCAAGCTCTATTCAGGTGCAGACCTGCTTTGCTTTTGGGGTTTGGCAGAGATAAGCTTGATCCTCTTAAGTTGGCTTAAGAAAGAGAGAGAAGGAAAATCCAAACAAATTATATACATGTGGCAGTTTTGGTCGTCTTTATTACATTAAATATTTTCTTGAAACAGAGGGCAGGGAATTGAAGATGACAACATGATGTGCATCATTATGCATCATTACAGAAATGAAAGCAGAAGACAATTTATTTATTGTTCAATTCATCTTTACCCCTCAGTTGTTTCTAAATTAAGAATATTTGCTGAATATTTATTATACTTTTTTCTTACTTTGGAAGTCTGTTCAGTACAGTTTTTAGTTCTTCACAAATGAGCTTAACAAGACCACTTTTTATGTTATTGTATGACACATCAATCATAAAAATATAGGCTGGTGGCTGAGGAGGCTTGTTGTTCTATGAAAAAGAAGGGGAAAAACCAATAGTAGTATGACAAATTAGATTATTTTTCCAAGGTTCTCAAACCAACCATGAAATAGTACAAATACTGTACTACTACTACTACTACTATTGTACTCCTATTATTACTATTACATACACTACTTATAGCCAATTTAAGACTCAATCTATTCTGATATTAAGATTCATTTCAGTGAAAGTATTGCAACATTATAAAACCTAAGCACAATATATTGGACTAATTTTCTACTAATAATCTATCTTTTATTTATTATTCTGTTTTCACACTCTTCTTTGTCATGAAATTTATAATTATGCAGCTAGTGCATGAAAATATGATCTAACCACATAACATGATGTAGTCATTTCAAACTGTACTGTGACATCATTAAAAGTCAGGCATATCCTTTGACTGCCAAGTGACTAATGCAGAAGAAAAAGGAGTGGGAAATTTTCATCAAGATGATGATGCAAAGTGAAAAGATATAAACAGTACGATGTGTAACATGGGGATGCAGAATATATGCTTAGGGATATAATAAAGGGATATAATGTTCACTGTATCCCATTTGCACTTCCCTAATACCACCTTGTTTAAGCTACAAGGCACAAGGGACTGAAGGGTGAAAAATACATTTATAATAATATCCTGTTCCTCCTCCTACATGTGGAATGTTCTCATATATTTATTCCCTTTCATGTTTTATATATGCATGTACATATGTTCCCTACATTCTGGAGTTGTAAAATATTCTGATGTTCCACAATTTTACTTCACTCTGACAGTAGAATGATCAGGTATTTTATGAACTTAAGGTAGTAATAATATTAATCAATAGTTTAAGCAGGCAAAAATGTGTTTGTCAGATCTTTTCTGAAGAAAATACTCAGCATTAAGACAATTTATGAGAATACGCTTAAGGATATCAGTTATCCACTGCAAGCACTCATAAGTCATCTTTGCTCCAGAAACATAAAAATGATAAAACGTTTCCTCTGCTCCAATCTAACACAGACTATCCCTTGAAGCCAAATATAAAGTTAGAAAATACTCCCTTGTTTCCTCTTTCAAATAATGAGCCTGAACTCTTAGCAGGAGTAGAATGCTTTATGAAAAGTACTTCCTGTGCCATAAGTAACTCATAAAGCTCCTCTTTACATTCATAGGTTAATTGCTGAAAACCAACAACAAGTCAATTAGGAATGCAACTCCAAGAAATTGCAACAAAAGTCATTATGTTAACAATAACAACCGTTACTTCTCCTTTCAGTTGTAGAGAAAATGATGTCGCTCAGAGAAATAAGAGAACTACAAAAATTTATAAAGTCTGAGTTTTTAAAAGCTTTTCTAATCAATCCCCAAATACTACCACAAAACACCTATCTGTATATTAAATTCTACCTAGATATTTATCATCATGGCTAATATTTCTACATATTTATCATCAATAAACAGAATAGAAAGTTCTCTTTTCCTGAGATATTGAGGTGGAGGATTCAAACATCTTCGGCAAATTATAAATGCTCTACACTAGTGGGAAAGTTTCAGCATGAAATACCAGTTATAAAAGAAGCATGGACAGTTGGTCATTTAGCTTAATTATGAACATTTTACAAACTAGACAGAAAAAAACAATCAAATCAAATCAACCTTTATTGTGAGAGTCCCTAACCCAGTGACTCCTACTAACAAACACATTATCTTATTGCTAATCCTACACTTTATCCACAAGATTATCCAGAAATTCATGCAAGGTCAAGAACAAGACACAGTATGTAAAATTATAGCCTAAGAGAATTTTGAGGTCATCTGATCCACTCATTGCTCAGTGGAGGATTCATTACAGTACCTCTAAGAGAAAACTACCCAGACTTTATTTGAAGACTTCTAGCAAATGATAACATTCCATTTCATGTGACAACCTGTTCCACAGACTGACACTTCTATATTTTGGAATTTCCTGTTGATGTATGGTACTTCATTGTACCTTTAACCCATTGATTCAGATCCCAATCTTGGTCCAGTTTCAGCTATCTGGTGCAATAGAGAACATGCTTATTCTCTCTTTCATGTGATGGGGATTTGAAAATTGCTATTGTATCTCTCCTCAGTTGTCTTTTATAGGTTAAACATATCCAGATCCTTTAGCTGTTCCTAATAGGCTGGACTGGTTTTAGGCTAAGGCTAAGGCTGGGTAGGCACTGGCTCAGGATTATAAAATTTAGGGGGTGGGCAATGCCACTCCTTCTTCCAAATCACTCTAAAAATCCAAATCTCCACATCAGTGGGAAGTGACACCATCAAACAATATAGCTATTGCCCTATACTTTTGAACTGACATTGTTTAATGGCTTTTCCCCCCATGACTCTTCACTATCTTAGTAGCCCTACTCTATACCAAGGATGTCAAACTCACGTTGTCACGGCAGCATCACGTGACATATTGGGACTTTCCCCTCCTTCGCTAAACCAGGCATGGGCATGGGCATCGCGTGATGCATCCAGGCCACCATGGGCCGGGAGTTTTGACAACCCTGTTCTATACTTTCACCAACTAGTCACAGTCCTATTTGAACTGAGGTGCCCAGAACTGAAAACTGAGCAGAGCGAAACAATCATTTACATTGTTCTTAACTGTATGGTCCTGTTTAAGGAACCCAACACAGGATTTAGCTCTTAGCAGCCATATCACACAGGTGGTTCATACTAACTTTTTGACTCATGTGGTCAAAAAGGAGAACCAGACAGATGTGCTTTGAAACGTTAGAGATTCCAAGTGAAATCAGTGAGGGAACTCAGCTTACCAGGTTATCAGGTTGCAATTTTATGAAACTTAGTATATTCTGTGAAGTGAGACAATTTATAATAGCGTTCTGTGCAAATACCAAAAAAAAAAAAAACCAAAAGAACCAATTTGGCAATCATATTAAGCATGTAACCTGAGCAGATGAATTATACAATTCAATTGGATTATATTTCATATTGCTCTAGGTGTACATTTTAATTTTAAATAGATAGGGCTGCATTCTTTCTACAGATACAACATGTAAATCTCTGATTTAGCACATATTGCAATTTTTTCCATGCTGATCAGACTTACCTTGCAATAATCTAAAGTAGCAACATACTCATATGATCCAAGTGATAGCTCTGGTCTTTCATAATGGTCTATTCTTCTACCAATGTGATCCAGATGTTGAAAATAAAATGGAGGAACTAAAAAAGAGAAGGGATTACTTTCTCCTTTTGTTCAACAGAAATAACCACATAAAATCTCAGGGTATTATTCTGAAAGTGATAATACCTGATATGCAATAGATTTTACATGAAAGGAACAGTGATGCAAGGAACTCTTTGTATTGATTTTGCTTTACAATTTTTGGTAACGATGAAACCACTTGTAATATAAGTTCACATTTACAACCAAATATATCGACCTTAAAGAGATTTCTTTTACTTGTGTCATCCCTATTCTTTCTGTCAATCTAATCACACATCTTTCAGTTTTAGGATTTAAGAGAGTTTCAGTCTGTTGATATGCTGCTTGTCCAGCGAGGTGTCTTACTGGTTACTCTAGTATTCGCATGTTACACAACTGCAATATCCTTTGCACAGCTTTCAACATGGTAAGGGCATTTCCTTTAGAGCAGGACTGTCAAACTCTCAGCCCATGGGCCGGATGCATCACATGCTGGCCACGCCCATGCTGGGTTTAGCAAAGGGGGAAAAATCCAGATACATCACATGATGACGTGAGTTTGACACCTCTGCTTTAGAGTATGCTAAAATGCAAAGGGAGGGAAGAAGAAAAGAACTGGGGTGGGCTTGGATTGCCTATAAAAGTATTCGGAAAAGGCTGATCCTGCACCTCAAAAGAACCCAAGAGATTTTTGTTCTCTGTGGGAAAAGCAAAGAGGGGCTGCCTCTACATTTTTTCTTATCTGATGCAATTAGATTTAAGGATTTGAAAAGAAAAAGGGCTTTCCTTAGATCTGTCCTTGAGGAAAAGCAGCTTTCTGGCAGTAGACAGCAATTTAAAAAAAAATCAGCACACCAGACAAATGCAAAAAATATACTAGAACAATATATCTTACACTGAACTATTTCATGTGTGTAAATAACAAAGATAAATAATGGCTGTGAAATGCAGCAGCTCTCAGATCTCAAACAACTATTCATTGTAGAAACATCTGACCTCTTCCAACATTCATACAATACTCATTAGTAGCCTTTCTGTTATGAACCCAGCAAATATTTTGCACGTGCAAAGTTTCAGTTTTAAAACCTTACTTGAGAGTATAAATGTATCACCTTAGCTGCTGCATAGGAGGCTACTGTGAACCTGGAACTAATATCACTATTATTTTACTATGGCCATCATTTTCTCCACAAGACTGGACATTGCCCTCATGCTTATGATGAAAATCAGAGTGCAAAAAAAAAAATCACACAAAAGTAATATTGCAGGCATGCAAACAACTCTGTTTATAAATGGCAATATCAGTCTAAATGTTTGATAGCTCACTGTTATATACATTTGTGAGAACTTTCTGCTGAATAAACAGTCCCAGCAGCCAACTGCCTTCTCTTTCTTTCCACAGATTAAGCTTTGAGGCAAATAAGAGTTGGCATAAGTTCATGTTTAAGGTTCATGTTTCACAGTTGAAAAGATTACTGTATTAGGGAAAGCTCTGTGGCACTTTGATCCAGCTGAGGAAATCCAACTAGATGCAAGCATCTTGAAAAAGGCATTTTGGCAAAGCCTTGGGACTCACCCAGAAGTCCAGGAACTTGTATTTATGAGTCACATGCAGTTGTACTTGGACAAATATGGCATGGCATCTACTGTTCAAAGCAACTTTAAGCCTAGTAAAATTAATGGATGTTTTAACCATGGTAGTCCTCTGATATAAAGTGAGGCAAAGTCCTTAATATTTATTCTTTGCTAAGCGGTTCAAAAATGTATTTAAATCTATATAGAAAACAGTTTGATTTAATTATTATATCTTTCCTTCCTTCCTTGCCTATTTTACACAGAGTATAAAATTCACAGCTATTATTTACAAAAGTGGTCTTATAGAAAAATTCAAGTACTTTTCTAAAGAAAGATTAACTGTTCTTGCTGTTAATCTTTGCTGAGCATACCCAGTACATGTATCTACATATATATCTTAGGGAAAGTCTTTCTACAAAGGTTTCTAGCTTAGCTTTGGTTGTCGTTTTAACCTTATAGAAAACAGATAAGCTGTTTTGTCTTTTGTCTTTTCAATATGAAATATTTCCAGATAATTCCTAGAGCAAAGATTGAACAACTTCATTGTACATTTTCAATTGCCAGGATAATACAAGGCTTTGAGAAGTCTACTTTCAATGAGGCAATGCATGAAGGAGCATGCTGGAATCTTTTCAATTGACAAATTCAAAATTCCAGTTCATATGAAATAAAATGATTAAGCAAAATACCAATTTGTCCTGGCAGGATGCAGACTCTTACTTCAATATTGCAATTTTATACCTACATGTCTTGTGATAATACACAAGAATCCACATTTGAAAAATGACTGTAATGTGTATTTTCATATTGGAACAGAAATAAAAAAGATGCTGAATAGACAGAATAGGGCAGAGACTGAAGAAAGTTCAGCAGAGTTTTCCAATGGCCCTTGAGTAGAAGATTAGCATGAACATCTAATCTTCATTTCCTTTGGTCTTTTTAAATTGATCATTCCTTCATTCTCTGAAACCACAGGGTTGGAAAGGGCCTATTATGTCATCATGTCCAGCCCTGTAGTCAGTTCAAGAATCCAAAATAAGAATCCCTGAAATATATTGTCTAGCTTATATTTGAATATATATATATAGTATTTGAATAAATGCAAATCAATTCTTTAGTCAGGGGTGCTCCATTTAATAACTATTGCAAAACTCAGAAATAGTCATAATTTGCAAGCAATAGCTTTATTCAAAAGACAAGAGCTGCATCAAAACACATTTTCTTTGCTCTCACACAACTTCCTTTGCTCTTCAGCACTGTCTCTGGAAACAACTGAGATGCACACATTCTTTTTTACACTAGATGAGATTTCCACATAAGTGACACATTTTTTAAGAAACAGTATTTCTAGTTGGAATAATGTGAAAGATTATGTGTTTTTAAAAAAATTAATTTAACTATTTTAAAATTTATTTGGAGAATGAGTTTTCTATCATTTCAAAAACAACAACCAGAAAACCAACGCAACTTACCATCATTCACACAGTTACAAAATCCACACTGATATTTTCTTCCTCCCTCAATGAACTGCATGAAAGGACACATGTAAGCTTTACATCGATTGCATCGAATTGGTCCATTTTCCCCAAGGTTTACCAAATAAAGTGGTGTCTGCAGAGATTTTGAAAAAAATGGTGATGTAACTTGAATAGGTCAGTGCCCTGACTATAGATAGTTACACCTGAAGGGTCACTGGTTTCATATGGTTATGAGGGAACATTTAAATTAACAGTTTTCTAAATGAATTTGAATCCTGTGGGCTTTCTTCCACGTAGTATTTTTTAATGTTTTGTAATTTACTGTACTGTTCTTGTTGATTGAATCAACATGAACTATCACTGCATGCATCAATACTTCACAATGTAAAAGTATCTCTAAAAAAATTACATTATCCTTAACTAGCACAAAGTAGTTCACTAATCATATATCACTCAAGCTTTTCTTATGGGAGAGTTCAGTACAAATCTTTCCCACTAAAATGAATGGGATTTGAAAGTACTTAATTTGGGGCTAAATCTCTCCATTCTAAACAAAAATTAGAGCACCTAATTGTATATAATTGCATAGTATAACATAGTGACAATATTTATTCGGAAATAATTATCATACCGGTAATAATGACAAGGTTTCTACTAAGAATGTGCAATGTACTTATGAATATATAAATACAATAGCCATAGCACTTAGACTTATATAACACTTCATAGTGCTTTACAGCACTTTCTGAGAAGTTTACAAATGTCAGCATATTGTCCCCACAAATATGGGTCCTCATTTTACCAACCTCAGAAGGATGGAAAGTTGAATCAACCTTGAATCAGTCAGGATTGAGCTCCTGACAGTGGACAGAGTTAGCCTGCAACACTGCATTATAACCACTGTCACTGTCACAATGGCTCTGAAATTTTTTGTCAATATGAACTTCAGCACATTAAATACACGAAAAAACAATAAAAATCTTATTTCAATAGATTAATTTTAGTCAGCCAATTTGTGGATCATTAAAATTCTTTTTCCCCTTTCATTTACATTGTTAATCACTAGACATCCAGTGCATTTCTATATGACAGGATGTGTCTCTCTCACATACTAGTGTAAAGATAAGGACACCAATTGAGGTTACCACAATAGATAGCAACTATAAGTTATTATCTCAAAGCAAGAGATATAAAGTTAATTTTTAAATTTTTAAATGTTGAACATTTTCCACTTCAAAATCTATAGGATTTAACAAAAGAGATAAACATACATAATTTCATCTACTGAAACTCACAGGGTAAGGAATAAAGGCTTCTAAACTCAGCAAGAATTATTTTGAATAAAAATACATGAAACTGGACTGTTTGAGCTGGATTGTGTCCAATATGCTAGTAGTTTGGTTACAGCATTTAAATGGTTTAGTCATTAACACAATTATTTATTTGCTTTGATTTATAAACATTATATTATTTAATCTACCACGTCTTTCAGTGAAATTGTTTTGTATTGAAACATGGCTATGTTAAGAAAAATAATTTGTGAGCAATTTATCGTCCATGAATTATTTCTTCAAATAAGCAAGTTCAAAAGAAATGCTCAAAAAAGTCATTGGTTGAGGTTAACAGGCTGCAGATATATTAATCTGCTTGCTTGTATCTAATATGTCACTAGAGACACACTGAATGAAATCAAAACAAAATAGATTTTTCTAATGATTTCTTATTAGAAGTAGAAAGGTTATCTTTATACTTATTCTGATGTCCATAAAAAACTCAAGTTAGCAACATATCATTTTGACTTCACACTGAATGTTTTTAAGAATTGTCTTGCTTTTTTAATTGTCAGTTAAATACAAATTAAATACAGTTGTTGCAAACAAATATTACAACTGAAATATAATTAAAACTAATACTTTGGAGGGGGAAAAACCTCTCACACTACTACAGAAGTATCAAACTGGATTTCTTTGAGGGCCAGCTCAACATTGTAGTTCTCAGTGGGCCAGCAGCAGGAGGGTGGGGGTTGGCAGGGGGAACCCTGCCAGGCAAAACGGGGCTCAAGGGTCTGCACGTAGCCCCTCTGCACCTCATTTTCACCCTCCATGGCCTCCTGCAGCATTCTGGTGGCCAAAAATGAGCCACGTGGCCCATTTTGGGCCCATTTTTCAGCTGTTTTCAGACCATTTTCAGACCATTTTGGGCCCATTTTCAGCCTGTTTTTGGCCAGCAGAGTGCTGCAGGAGACCATGGAGGGTGAAAATGAGATGCGGCCTCCATACGTGGCCCATTTTAGCCACCAGAGGCACCATGGGTTGTTCCCTTGATATTTCTAGGCTGGCCCCATGGGCCAGATTTAAGCACCCCATGGGCCTTAAGTTTGATACCCCCGCTTCAACTATTTTATTTGGTTTATATGTATGAATTGATTAAAATGCCAAAATCTGCAGAAATCATCTATTTATCCAAAAAAACAATAAATTTCAAAGGAAATGCATGTTGTTGCACACTGCTTTCTCTGGTATTCTCCTATTTGTATCAAATCCACATTCTTCAAGAAAAAAACTACTATAGTTAGAGAAAATTCTTATTGCCTGAAATGTCATTCCTTTCTCATTTTTTTCCCAATGCCTCTATAATTTTAAATTAGCACTGTTTACTATAATTTTTCCAACAATTTCACTTATTTATATTTATGGCCATTCATTTTCTAAACACGCTTATTAATTCATTTCAAAGTGAAAACAACAGAAATCTTGGTTTTTTAATACCCAATTTAACATTAAATTATACGCAGTAATTTTATTATTTTTAAATGCAATATTTTATTCCATTCATCTAAAATAAAACTAAGAAGTTCATTCAAGTATGATTTCATCTATAATTGCCTACAAGAAAAGACAATGAGTCAGCTGAGCAAAACCTTCTTTGTGCTGTGTGCTATCTGTAGAGGTCACTGTGCCCATAGAGATACAATACTCATAATAAGCAACAGATTTGTCCTGACTCCAGTACCAGATCAATTTCTGTAAATGCTAAAATCCCATGAGATTGAGAAAGACCAAACAAATGTTATTCATTTGCCTCCCAATAAAATAATGTGCTAAGGTTAATAACTGAAAAACGTGTTCAATATGAACATTAATTAATTCAATTTTTTTCCTAATGAAGACCAAAACTACTATCAAAGCAACTGGCAATGAAATGCTATGATATATAATGTTGCTATGCCAGATTTTCCAATGGCCATGTTATGATTTCACTAGACTGTTGTTTGTGAGAAAGTGTGGGTGATGTTAGTGTTTTACAAAGTTATTTAATGTATCATTTAAAACACTGACACATTTAATCAGAATAATCTAGTGGAAGCATTTTGTAAACTCTTGGGCAAAAAAGCAGCATTTGACTCTTGGCAGAGTAAGAACTAAGCTGATTTTAGATGCATTATTTATCAAATATTCTTCTGATAGAGTTATGTTAACAGATTATTGGAATTTAAGATCTATTCTCTACTGTGGTTTTGCAGCAATTGAATAAACAGAATATATATTCTATTAATGTGATATTTATTAAGAAAATCAAATGAGATTTGTGAAAATTGTATCCGGAATCAGGTACTGTATGTAGCACAATATAATACATGTGTGTGTTATATACAATATATAGATATGTATGGTATATATTTATGTGTGCATCTGTATCTGTGTATGCATTAAGACCAATGATAATGTTATATACTGTTAAATAATTTCTTCCTATGAATAGTATATGTTCGTTCTCTGCATTTGTATCATTCAACAAGTAACAAAGTGCAAACCAGGGCAGTCAACACATTTGTAGTTGTCAAGGATATTTACTGAAATATCATAAAATATTTACTGACATATCATATTTATTGACATATCATAAAATCAGAAAGGTATAAAAAAAACCAGGTTCTCCTAAAGCCACACAACAAAGCCAAATCAATGAAGACATTAGCTATTAACTAAAATGAAACTGTTATACATTCCATTATCTGTTAACCAGGAGTAGAATTCAAATTTTTTAACAACTGGTTCTGTGGGCGTGGCTTAGTTGGTGGGCATGGCTTGGTGGTCATGTGATTGGGTGGACATGTCTTGGTGGTCATGTTATTGGCTGGGCGTAGCCAACTCAATATCACTCACATCATGGCACATATCTCCTAGCCTGGCCTCTCATGACTGTGGAGATGCCGCAACAGTCGTAAGTGTGAAAAATGGTCATAAGTCACTTTTTTCAGTGCTATTGTAACTTTGAATGGTCATTCCACACAAGCAAAGTACCAGCAAAGGAAGAAAAAAACAACTCCAGAGAAGTTCCTGAGACAGGAAGTCTAGTCCTGTCAAGAATGTAATTAGGGTTAACGGAGAGGCAGTTTCTGTAAGCAACACCAGAATGTTTCCTTCCTGCCTTCCTTACAGGATTAGGCCAGTAATTTCTTCTAACAACTGGTTCTCCGAACTGCTTAGAATGTTAACAACCGGTTCTAGCAAATAGGTGTGAACTGGTAGAATCCCACCCCTGCAGTTTTATTGCTAAAAAAAATGACAGAAGAACAAAATATTGAATGTGAATATATTTATAGTCACTTTCAGCAGTCGTCCATTTGTAGTATGGACTGTAAACATGTAATCCACCCAAAGTCATCAAGGGGATGCACAGCATAAAAATTAGATGGATGGAGGGATAGAAGGATAGATAGATAGATAGATAGATAGATAGATAGATAGATAGATAGATAGATCGATCTATATTGGTAGATAGGTAGGTAGGTAAGTAGGTAGGTAGACAGAAAGACAGGCAGGCAGGCAAGTAGGTAGGTAGGCAGGAAGGCAGGAAGGCAGGCAGTCAGGCAGGCAAACCTTTTGGATGGATGGATGGATGGATGGATGGATGGATGGATGGACATACAGAGAGACAGACAGAATGTAACAGCGGAGGCACTTTGGGAAAGTAGAGCCACTCTGGCTTTGCTCTACTTTCCCAAAGTGCTGCCGGCTCTGCAGCACCTCGAACGCCCCCTATGATTCTTGATGAATGTATTTTTTTCTTTTTCTTTTTATGAACACTGATAACATTTGCACTAAAACAAATTCCTTGTGTGCCCAATCA